GGGTGTTGCTGGGGGCCCCCAACAACCACCTTATATATCGGCGGGTTGTTGTTGCGGTGTATAGGCAGCTGCGGTGTTTTAGTTTTTTATTTTAATATATTCGAATGAAATATATATTATTTATTGTTTTTCTCATATTTATGTCTAAGAAACCCAGAAACACCAACCAGACGCTGCCGCTGCTGCTGCTGCTGCTGCTGCTGCTGCTGTGGGGCCCACCTGACCTCGCAGCAGGCGACGGTGAGCGTCGGTCGCGGCTTATTCTTTTATTTCTTTTTCTTCTTTTTATGTAAATTATTTAATTTTAATTTATTAATTAATTAATTAATTAATTAATTAATTTGTTTAGTTGCATTGCGTAGAGCCGCTGTTTGTGTGCAGCGCCGCCCGCCACCGAACGACCCCCCTCGCATATTGCAGACGACAGCAGCAGCAGCAGCAGCAGCAGCAATAGTAACAGCAGCAGCATAGCAGCAGCAGCAACAACAGCAGCAGCAACAGCAGCAGCAACAGCAACAGCAACAACAGCAATAGCAGCAGCAGCAGAAGCTATGTGTGAAACAGAAGACAAAGGCTGCTAACAGAGAAAAACCCCAGCCAGCCCGCTCCTGGGGTTGGCTGTGTAGCTAGCTGTGTAGCTAGCTGTGTAGCTAGCTGTGTAGCTAGCTGTGTAGCTAGCTGTGTAGCTAGCTATCTGGCTAGCTGTGTGGCTCGCTGTGTAGCTAGCTGTGTGTACAGCTGTGTGGCTAGCTATGTGCTCATCACGGGGTATAGAGAGGGACTGGTGGCTGCTGCTGCTGCTGCTGCTGCTTCTGCTGCTGCTGCTGCTGCTGCCGCTGCTGTTGCCGCTGTTGCGCTCTCTCTCAGCAGACCTAGCAGCTAGCTGTGTAGCTAGCTGTAGCTAGCTGTAGCTAGCTACAGCTGGCAGTAGCTAGCTGCGGCGTTTGTTAATATATGTTTGTAATTTCGCTGTTGGCGAATCGTTTAATACAAATGGCAAAATGTCCGGCACAAAGAAAAAACAGAACCGACCGTCGCCAGGTGTACGTACACCGCAGGGTGTACATACACCGCAGGGTGTATATACACAGCAGGGTGTATATACACCGCAGGGTGTATATACACAGCAGGGTGTACATACATAGCGTGGGGTGTACATACACCGCTGGGTGTACATACACCGCTAGGTGTGCATACACCGCTGGGTGTGCATACAGCATGGGGTGTACGTTCAGCAGGAGGTGCACATACACCGCGGGATGTGCATACAGCGTGGGGTGTACGTGCAGCGTGGGGTGTACATACATCATGCGGTGTACGTACAGCTTGGTGTGTGCATCTATCTATCGAAGAGAGAAGCGACAACACAACAATTAAATAAAGAGGCCCAGACGAAAGAGCTGCCTGTACACCCCAATTCAGCAGCAGCAAATTCAACACACTGCTGCTGCAGCCACACAGCACTTCTACGCATGCATGCATGCATGCATGCATGCACTGCACATACACCGCATGCATGCATGCATGCATGCACTGCACCACATACACCGCATGCATGCATGCATGCACTGCACCACATACACCCCATGCATGCATGCGTGCATGCATGCATGCATGCACTGCACATACACCGCAGCAAACTGCAACAGCAACACCATCATCCAACCCAACCAACCCACCTCAGCAGCAGCACCCTTCCGCGCAGCACCCAGCCAGCAACAGCAGCAGCAGCAGCAGCAGCTGCTGCTGCTGCTGCTGCTGCTGCTGCTGCTGCAGCAGAGCAGGTGAGCGGAGCTGCTGCCTCGACTGCATGCAATCTTTTGTGTTTGTATTTCTGATTAATAAATTGTTTTTTTTTTTTATATATTCATTGTTAACCTATCAATCTATTTATTTTATTTATTTTATTTATTTTATTTTATTTATTTTATTTATTTTATTTTATTTATTTTATTTATTTTATTTTTTTTTATGAGCCGCTCCATAGAGAAGCAACAGAGCGCCAGATAGAGGGCCGAGGATCCAACCCCCTGCAGTATAGGTGTGTCTTCCCGTCTATATACATCAGCTCCCCCCCCTGCCTCAACGCCTGCAGCAGCAGCAGCAGCAGCAGCAGCAGCAGCAGCAGCAGCAGCAGCAGCAGCAGCAGCA